TTGCTTGTCTTTGGTAGGATTTTTCAGCAGCCAAAACTGTATTGTGGTATTTAGAGTAACTTTTCCTTACCCCTGCACTATGGGCTGTGTTTGGTCCATAAGGTGCCATAATCTGGGTAAAAATATATTGTTTTTCTCTCTGCCTTGGGATCTGTTGTATTTGGACCTCATCATGCTTAGCTCTGTTTTGACATTCACACTGGTTGCTGCAACTAAATACACAGAGGCATTGGGGGACAAACAAAGAAACAAACAAATAATAGAACCGCCTTGGTAATTGAAGCTATTAAATAGATTTTTTTCCCCATTTTATCCTTATAGTCTGGAGGGGAGGGGAGGGGAGTGGCTGAGGGCAGGTGCCTCAGTGCCATCAGGGCTGGCACTGTGACCTTGGGCACGGTGCAAAGAGGGATTGAGCTGGAGTCAGGAGGAGCCCTTGCCGAGTTCATGGCTGTGTTAAAGTTGCATTCCATGTTGGAACAGGCCGTGTTGGCTGGTGTTCAGCAGGCATTTCTGACACCAGTAATAGCTGGTGGGTTTGTTAAGATCTAAATTCAATAATAGTGCCCAAGCAGTGTCTGCTAAAATACATAAAAGACTGGTTGGTTTTTTTTTTACTTTTGAGGACCTGGGACCAAACTTGTAGCTACTCTATGGAAGGGTGAGTTGCTGTTCTGGATTTCTCTGACTACCAGCTTTGTGTCTTGTGTTTTTGCCCTGCCTTAGATGTTCCAGTGTCCGAGACAGGGAGAACCACACCACATTTGAATAACACCCAGCAAAGGCCTGTTCCCAAATGAATTTCCCGGGGCTATTTAATGGAGAACAGCAATGAACTCTGCTCATTTTATAAACAAATCCCGTTTGGCTGCACGGACTGACTGTGGTAGAGCCGACTGGTTCGAACAAAAACAGAGCTGAGCAGAGGAGCTCAGTTTGTACCTGCTCGGGGACTATAGAGTAACCCAGACTACACATTCCTGAACGCAAACCAGGCCAGACACAATCCAGTTCCTTTGTGCCTCTCTCGTCTGATGAGACCAAGTCTCTCCAAGCTCTCTCTGAGTAATGCAGCGATAGCTCATCCCAGGGACTTGGTAAATCTAATGAAAAGAGTGTCTCCAGAAAGGTTCAGGAATGCAGCAGCCTATGCTACTGCCTTGCTAATGCTTCACACAGCTCTCCAGACTGGAGTATTTTGCTTGCTTTCATGCAACCACTATTTATTATTTAAATGACGAACCTGGAAAATTTCCCAGATCTAATGTCTGCCCCATTACTGTCTGTCTTGGATACTGCAGATAATCAGATGAGCAGTAAATCTATTCTGTGGAAAGAATTACGTTATCTTTTTTTTTTCCCTGTCAAGCAACTTGTGAATGATTTTTCTTTTCTTCACCCCCTATAAAATACCTAATAGATAAAAATCTGTGTGCCAAATACAAGTTACACCACATGTACCTCCAGTGGTGCATCTGCAGGGGACCAGTGGGAGTGTATTTATCTTGTGTAGATGGGGAAGATTGCGTGAAATAATTCCTAGCACCGATACTTTCAGTTGAGTGGGTAAAAGGAAGTGCTATGGGCAGTTTTTGGTTCTTCTCATTTGTTTGTTTGTTTAGGTGGGGGGTTTTTAGGTTTGTTTGTTTTTTGGTTGGTTGTTCTTTTAGCCAGTTTTGATTGTGTCCCTTCTCCATCCTCTCTGATGGTTTCTGAAGTCTGTCCTGAATTTCTCTGAAACAAGACCACCCTGTTGAGCAGTGAGGGGATGTTTGCCAGTGGTCTCAGGTACTACTGAGCTGCTGTTGGCTCCTCTGGCTCTGGGAATTAGAAGTGCCAAGGGGTGCTGAGGCTGCCTGGGCAAGGCTGGAAAGGCACAGGGAAGTACATCCCCTGCCATGCTGAGCACCACTGCATAATTCTCCAGCTGTCCCAGTCCTTCCCGATGAAGTGATGACGAGCAGGCTTTGGAAAAGAGAAAACACAAAGAAAACCTGCTCCCAGGAATGACCAGCTCGATCCTGAGCCTCCACACCGAGCGTGGGTTGCACCTCTTTCCTTAAAAACAGGAGGCTTTTTTTTCTGCCCTCCCCCCCCCCCCTCCACAGTGATGAGAAACTGAAGGTCAGGAATGAGCCCCCCGAAGGCTCATGAGGAACAAAATACGACGTGTTTGAACTGACGGGAAAGGTTAATGGGGAAGATCAACATCCAAAGGCTGCACTAAGGAAAGGGGGCTTGTTTGGGCAGAGCCTGAAGCGGAGCTTCAGCGTTACAGGCAATGGGAAATGTGAAACTGTGGGGCAGGGAACACACAGCCCTTTAGCCCTGCTCAAAAATAATAAGTGCAGACCTTTTTTTAACTTCAGAGTGTAGTCTGCCCTCCGTAAAAAAACAAGTTACATTAAAAAACCGTGCACCAGAAAAAGCAAACCTCGTTTTCCTGGTTTCTGCTTATAAGATTTACAGGTACTTAAAATAAACCTATGAAAAACAGACCCTGTGTGCTGGAATTTGCTAACTAGTGAGAGCAATTACCTCCAGGTCCCAAGACCTAACGGAGCTTGGCTTTTTTGGAAATAAAACTTGGCAAGCACCTCTTCCTGCTGCTGTTGTAAAGGTGCACATGAAAAGATGTGCTGACCTCTGCCAGAAACCCCAGGAATCCAGTTCAGAGAGATTCTCCCGTGGAGGGGATGGCTGGATTCGGGCAGCACAGATGGGGATCGGTGTGGAAAAGCCGGCGAAACATTCGCTTCTCATTGTGTGGCTTCAGCGTGGCAGATTCTTTGCAATTGCCTGGTGTACCACAGTAATTAAATGGGTCAAGAGCAGTAAGTTCAGATACTTAACAAGAAAATAAAGACCTCACTTGACAGCCAGCAGCGGGTCGTGCTCGTTTCGCAGGAGTAAGGAGAATTAATGCAGGTTGTGCAGTGAAAGTGGATCTGAGCCTTTTTGGCAATGATTTTGCATTGCTTCAGAGATCACCTACCAATTAACTGCAAATGCTGTAATGGCTGTAAATCAGGTTGTCTTATGAAACTAACGCTCCGATTTCAGATGTCCTAGAAAAAAGGAAACAATAGACTCTGCTTTTCTCCTTTCAGTGATACGAAGGGAACAAAAGATAAGAAAAGCAATGAGAGAGACACAACCAACCTTTGTTAATACTGAAATGTAAAATAATCCCATTTTCACTCGACTGTTTCATGCGTGAGGGGAAAATGAAGTTTGTGTAATGCAATAAATATGATAGAAGTGGAATCCAAGATGGGAATTGATTTTTACAAGACTCTCCAGTTTGGAGGGTGGAGGTAGTTTCAGACCAGCATTTTGAAGGAAATTATTTGTTGTTGTCAGTATCCATCGTTCCTGGCTGGGAGAAGGAGCTCCTGTTTCCCACAGCAGTTCTAAAAGCCCATTGGGAGGGATGGGATCTTCCTCCTAAAATATTAAGGGACAAGTAACCAGAATGTTAAAAAAAAAAATAATTAAACCCGTAAAATGTGTTCTACCACAAACCAGGAGCTCTCTGCAGACCACCTCCCCTGGAAAGTTAAGAGATGGGACCAGGTTTGCTGCTGTGTTTGTAGATCCCCTTTGGACTGAGCACTATTGAAAGGGTTTGTGCCCTCCTGCCTGTGTCCATGCTGATGGGAACCGGTGTCCAGCAGTGAGGGTTGGGCTCCATCACAGGCTGGTAAAAATCAGCAGAGCTCAGCTCGGCCACAGGAGACAAATTAGGTGTCTCAGCTTCAGCATCTCACCAAGAATCGCTCAGGAACGTTGCTCATGTCTGTGCATTGCGGTTATTAGGTGCAAGAAATACAGTTTTTAAAACTGTATTTAATCATTTCTCAGTAACCTCTTTTTCTACAAATTTATGGCATCAATGGGTATGACTGTTTATTATGTCTTACCTATAAAATCTGACCTGTTTTATATACTCTTTATGGAAACAGTGTACAGTCATAAATTAAAAGATGCAACTGTTTTGGATATTTTACTGGTGGTCCTGTATTTTCCTGCCAAAAGTGCAGCTGTTTTAGGTTTCTCGGGATAACATTATAAAAGGCTGTGTGCGTTTTGCAAGTTTATGCTTGAATTGCCAAGCCAGAGGTGGAATGACTCAACCTTCCCAGGAGCAACATGTACCAAGTGAGGAATCAAAACAGCCGGCTGAAGCGGGGCAGCTCAGATGGCCACGGGGAGAGGCACTTCTTGTTCACGGGGGTGCATCTGGTGGTCAGGGTTTGGGAGACGATTGTCGTGCTGGGCTGTGGATCCCTCTGTGTATATGATGGGGTTTTGGTGCCAAACTAGTGGAGGATCTGGTCTTGTACCTGTCTCATGTGGGATTACAGCGTGGAAAGAAGCCATCCAGGCCCCCTGAGCAAACACCTTTAACGGGAGCCCTTAGGAAGGAGCCAAGAGGAGCCAAGGGTTTGTGGGGATGCCAGCACAGACAGCGTGTTTCCATGTCAGCTCATCAGGTTGGCAGGTTTGGGGGAGCGTTAGATGGCTCTGCAAATGGGTGCTGATGCTTAATTCGTGGGGAAGTTTAGAGGCTTTTTAGCCCAAATGTTTATGATCTAATTCCCAGGTGTCAGTGGGCTCCAGACATGGATAGGCCTGAGAGCACAAAGCTCAGCCCTGTGGTTGTCAGAGGAACCAGCATTAACTGACAGAGCAGAAGTCCCCCTGTTCCCATGGGTTGTCCTTGTCTTAGAAAGAACTACAGAGGGTTGGAAATGAACCCTCCCCCAGAGCAAGCAGGGAACACAAACCTGAGAATGTCCTTAGCCCTGTGGCACTGAGCTGTCCGAGTGCGTTGGCTGGGGCAGCCTGGCTGAAGGTGCGTCCTGGTTTTAACTCCTGGCATCTCTGTCCTGCTGTGTTCACAGGTGGCTGGCAGCCTCCACCTCACCGTGCCGTGCACTGCACAGGTGTCTGATGGGTTCATTCCTGCTCTAAAATGACGCTGCTCTTTGCTGCAGGTACCTCACCCACGTGCGAGCCGCCTCTCCGCAGGATCTCGCCGGGGGATACACGTCCTCCCTGGCTTGTCACCGAGCCCTGCAGGACGCTTTCAGCGGGCTCTTCTGGCACCCCAGTTAGCCAGGGACCACCGGCCTGACATCAAGGGACACCCAGCGGGGCAAGAAGCCGATCAAGCCAGCAAAGGTTGGGGCAGAATCGCTGCCATCCGCGATGGCCGGGCTGCCGTCGCTTTCCTTTGCACTTTTCTGTGCAAAACCAGCTGTGTTCGAGTGTTAAAGGGAAGAAAACAAGCCCCGTCTGCACGAGAGCTTTGTAAAATGGTGAGATACATTTTTGTGGAGGGGGAAACTCGTTAGTCATGTGGCACTTTGCTGAGGGAGGCTGAAGCAATAAGCCACATCTAATGGAAGATGTGAATAACTCAGCTGTGTATGTTTGAGGCTTAAAGAAATACACTTGTAAATTTTTTTTTTTTAAATAAAGCCAGACTTTTTTATTAAAGTTTGTGGTTTTACTCTTATTGCAGGGTTTTATTTGCACAAGCATTTAAATGCCATTTTGATTATAACATTTAGTGTCAATATTCAAGCCTACATTTTCTTCCCATAAAACTAGTTTCCCCAAGTTTAGACAAGTGGGTTTTTCCTCCTGCCAGCTGGATGAGATGAGAAACCCTGGAACTGTGCTGACACGGCTCCTTCCAGGTGACACTTGGTTCTTACCTTTGCCTGGAAAAACAATCTTTAGCTGGATGTCTTTCTGTTGAGTTCCTGTAGAAGCAATCTAAGAAACAAGACTGAGTCATTGAAGTAGTTAAAATTGTGGGGTTAATTGTTTGTTTTGGTTTTGTTTGTTTGTTTCCTTCTGTTTAGCTCCATTTGCAACTTTTCTGTCATGCACTCAGGAGCTTCTTTTGGCGGGAACATCCCTTTGCCTGGCTTTTGGGATGACCCTTGCCACTTGATTTGCTGCTTTCATGTATTCCTTCCCCCCTCCTTGTAGTGGAATGTTGACTCATTGCAGCAGAGCTGGGCTTCCCATGGGAGGATTGGACTTTGCCATGAGTGGATATAAACTGCAGGAGATGGGAAACTGCTCAGGGCAGGGAGCTTGGACCATGTTTTAAGGACCATCCATTAATAGATGTTGAATCCTGCTCTGAGGGGTGCACTAAATGGATGTATTTTTTCTATGCTGAAATAAAGAGAACAAGCTCTATTCCCGACTCGGTGCTTGCTTTATTAAGTAGAGGGAGGTGGCAAAATTTCCTTTGCCCTTTCCCTGAAATCCTGCTGGTTGTGCCCAGAACAGCTGCCGACAGGGGATGTTACATCCAAGGCAGAGGTGAAAAGATCACGGCCTGTGGAGCACCTGGGATTCTCCTCTCCCTCACCTCTCCTCTCTCCCCCTTCCTCCCCACCCCAGCCTGAGAGCTGACATGCCCATCGTTTTTCCAGTCTCTGGGAGTTTGTTCCCTCTGTCACAGGTGCCTGACATCCCGGTCCCAGGTACAAGATGGCACCAAACCTCTTGGGATTCAGCTCTGGGACCCTAGGAGAGAGTAGCAGCAACCAGGGAGAGTCTCTCCTATTCCAGGCTCACCCAGACTGGCAAAGATGCACCTCAACGATGGTCTGTCTGTATTCAGTTTGCAAAGCCTCAGGTCATGCCCTAACAAAAGCAGAACTGCATATACATATTAATCATGTATCATTTCAATACACTCATTAACTCGCATCATTTGCTGTTTCGTGTGGAAGGGTTGTACACACAAGTGGCAGCTGCACAGGAATCTGGAAAAGCCCCTGGTCATGAGTACAGCTACCTACCATCTGCTGACTTGCATCTAAACAGAAGTTACGCTGCAAAACCGCGACAGAGGGTGAGAGCCCAGCTTGCTCCTGGCACAGCAGTGCCTGGGAGGAGAGGACACGCGGGCTGGAGCTGCTCAGGCACCACAAAGCCAGAGTGGGAACGCTCAGGCTGCAGTGCAGTCCGGGAGGAATCTGCATGGCAGCGCTCAGGACAGCACGGGTGAGTCATGACGGCCTTCTCCCTCTGGGCTGATAAATGCGCTCCCAACACCGGCTGTGGAGCCAAGGGAGGGAAGAGGCTGTCACTCTGAGCCACGAGCAAAACAAACCCACGGCCCTTAGCGGTGCTTGGGTGAGAACCAAACGTCCTGCAGGCTGCAGGCTCAGGGATGGGGCCATGGCAGCAGAGCCAGGAGGGGGACGGACATCTGGTAAGGGAGTTGCTGGGCGTGAGCTCAGAGCGGGGACTGGGGGGAAAATCTGACAGCGAGAGGGCGAGCCGAGTTCCCCGGCCAAAGAAACTGTTTGTGGTCGATGTTGCCCAACAATAGTTTGGATGGGTAAGAAAAGGAAACCAAAGGCAGAGGCGTTTCAAATCCCTGCAGAATACAAGCAGCCAGTCAGAGAGATCATCCAGGGACTGCAGCAGGGGAGCAGTCGGAGATGGGGGAGAGCCGGGAGAGGGCAGAGGCACAAAAGCCACGGGAGGACACAGTTTCAGGACTGTTTTCCAGGTGCTGTTTTCAGCCTGGCACTTCAGTACAAGCATGTGCTTATTCTGCAAACGTGCAAAAGGCATTAGTCTCTTTCCTGCTCTAACAGTGGGCAAACACAAAGTCAGGAGTCAACTAATCCCTAAGTAAATCTCGGTGTTCAAAAGCATTTTTTACTCAAACCCATAGGATATGTGGCTATTTGGCCCCGTCTGTATCCCAGGTGAAGTTTCTGAAAGGTTATCTTGCTTACACAAGGGCTGCTTGTGCATCTGCTCACCGTAATCCAATATTCTGAAACAGCAAAATGTTTGTCAGAGGGAATCCAAGGCAGGGGTTATATAAGTCACTTTCCTAGAACTGGCAAAATATAAAAATCTGTTCTCCCCACAAACTGCACATTATCAAAATGCCACAGAGAAAACCACCCCAGGCTGTGGCACTGAATCAGCACAGGGTGTGAAACAATGGAGAGCAGAGAATTACTAAAACACATTTATTACAAAAGAGCAAAGTTTTAATTTTTTGTAGTAACAACAGTTTCAATCTGCTTATCGATCCCACAATTATAAAAAAAAAAAAAAAGGTAAATGCAGGAAACAGGGTTCCCAAAGGAAAGCTGCAACATGCACTGTGCATCTCGATGGGTAACACAGGTATGCTGTGAATAACTCAACAGGCAAACCAGAGGCACCCTAAATACCCTTTGCACAAACTAAGGTAGTCACCACAACTTGAGTCTTCAACTCAGTAACTTCTCTTCAGAAAAACCTTGGCTGGTACACAGACGTTTTGAGGCTGGTTTTGCTGGAAAAAGGTTAGAAAAAGTAAGTTATTTAATGTGCAGTAAACAGACTGAGCTAAACCACAAGCCCTGGAACACTTAAGGGATTTAACAGGAAGAGATGAGAGTTAAAATCAGGATTAACAGTCACAAACGAAAACTGTTACAGCAGTAATGGGGGGTCTTTGCTAAACGCCAAAAAGGACTTTCAAAAAACCTGTATGGAAATAGATTTTGACCTACATCTCAGTGCTACCCAACAACAGCATAAAAAAATGGTTTATGGCATTAAAGCTTTAAAAAAAACCCCTCCTTTCCTTAAGTTCATGTAACTGCAGCCTTGTCACATACTGCAAAGCCCAAGATCACTGAAACCAACCAGTTTCTGCAAGTCCTGCAAGAAACAAATGACCAATTATAAAAAAAAAACAACAGCAAACCCACAAAGTAACCAAATTCAGCATTGAAGCTCTCTAAGGGTATCCCTGTCTCAGCTAAATTGCACAGAACCTGACTCTGCTGATGTGGTGGCTCCAGCCCTACACAGAGTCCACGTGAGCATAAGGGAGAAGGTCAGAGCTGGGACCAGTCCCTTGGAAATGCACTGTTCTGGGCAAAAATGCAGCTCCAGCTCTTAAGTACTGAGCTAACAGAAAACTGTGTTTGGCATTAGATCACAGACTCACTGAATATCCTGCGTTGGAAGGGCCCACAAGGATCGCTGAGTCCCCATCCTCCCCCAGGACACAACCCAAGGCATAAAGGTCTGGTTTACGGCCTGTGGGGTGATCCTATCCAGTCCCCCACGTTTCTGGGGAGGCTCATGCTGGGATCAGAGGAGCAGGCTGCTGTTTTCAGGAGCATAGGAAGCCCTGCAGCTGCTGCACACATGCAGGCACTCGGTCCTGCCGGCCACCTCCGCCCTCATCCCAAATCCAGTGTCGCTGTCACACGGCCAGAGTGGCCCCCAGGGTGGGACCAGCCCGAGGCAGCAAAAGCTGGAGCCTGAAATCCCAGTACCATGTGAGAGGGTTATTCCTTCTTACCTTCATCAGGGCAGGGCCTCTTGTACAGCACGTCTGCAGGGACCTGGAAACTGATGCACAGCATCTCCTTGTTGGGCGCCACGTTCCTGACCAGGTACGTAGAGCAGCGTCCGTCCAGGGAGGTTCCCAGCGACGCCTCCGCTCGCTCCTGAATGTCTTTGGCCGGGTCCTCGTGCTTGGAGAACGCGTAGCAGTGCACAGTGGGAAGGGCAGCAGCGCTGCACGGCTCCCCCACCAAGAGATGCCTGAAAACATCCAGGAATTCGACAGCCAGCGCTGGCAAGTTCATGACTATGTGGAAAGCGTTTCTCTGCTCCTCCTTCATCAGTGGGAGCTCTTTGCTCAGCTCCTCCCGCACCGGCCCCCGCAGGAATTCCCTGCCATCCATGTTGAACACTTTCACTCTGGCGTCCACCTTGTTCAGCCTGCAGTTGTGCAGGAGCCAGCTGTAGGACTCGGGGTTGAGGTCGTTGGCGAACACATGGCACTTCTTCTTTGCTGCTGGGATGGCGAAAGGTCCGACCCCAGCGAAGACATCGAAGAGGACGTCGCCAGGCCTCAGCAGCTCCACGATGCGGCCGCGTTCCGTGGAGAGGCGTGGGTTCCAGTACACCTTGGAGAAGTCCAATTCATACGCAGTATTATTTTCTTTGACCTGGAAAGTCCAAAACGTTTTCTGCGTTTAGCTGCCAGGCAGGTTTAAGCGTTATCAGTAATTCAGACAGATAAAAACCAGGGTGCCTTGTCAAAAGGTAACGTGTACATCAACATTTGTCCCACTGGTAGGGCACAGGAACCTTTTAAAACCAGATCCAACTCATCAGAAAGTGCCATGAGGAATGTCCCCACTGTCAGTCCCGATGACTGGCTTACGCCTGTCTCAATCACCAGGTGGAAACAAAGCAGCAACTTAAAATGACCATTAAAAAATGAGGCTTTTCAAGAGCTTTGTGGCTGACTGACAACTCCTTTATTGAAAGCAGACCTTGGGAAGATGCCTCAAGCCCTCCTTAGAGGAGTCCACACAGTAAATAAGCGTCTGAGAACGATATGCCACAAGAACAGGAACCCTCAGCCAAAGCCACTGGGAGCCAGTTCTGCAGCTTGAAAAGTACTGTATTTCATCTCTCAAGGTGACAGAGTCTGGAGCCCGATCCAAACCCAAACTTTGGAATGACCACTATCTTAAGAACAGACCTGAAAAGAAACAGTATTTATTCAGATGAGAATGGGATGCAAGATAATACTCTCCTTGCAGCACCGCCACTGGAATTGTGTGGCTCCAAAGCACGGAAACTTCAGATCCAGATCGCCCCATCGTTCGCTTTGCCAGCAAGAAACATCCTGAAGCGTATCTGCAGCGCTGGGTGCAGCTCCACGGCGTGCCAGGTGTACAGTAACACCGTCTGCACAGTATTTGATCCTTGCTGCTGCCTTGACAATTCAACTGCCTTCTCTGTGTATGTACAGGATGTTCTACCAAGATATTCGACCTTTTTACTCGGTAATCTAATGTCTCCTCTTCTGAAAGTACAAAACTGCTAACAGATAGGGAAAATATTTTTGTGGGAGCCGCGGCCAAGATTCCGGCTACAGACAGGAAACCCTGCGCGAAGGATACGTGGCAGTTACACAGTGACTGCACCTGATAAATGTCAGGACAGAGGAGAGAGGAGGTTTGTCCTGCTGCTGTCAGAACAGGAAAAAAGGCAAAGGCAAAATGTTGCCTGAGCTGCAGAGCCAATCAGACTGAAAACACTCTCTTAGGTTCTATACCAGCCACAAGGTACAAGGCTTGGTGACGTTATAAAACTGCGTTTTCTTAGATCAAATCCACTGAATATTTTGGCTTTGAGAAACATCCCCCAGTACAAGTTTGCCGTTAGTATCTCTGCAATAAACCTTTACTGCAGCTGGTTTTACACAGCATTAAATCTAGGCTGTGTACTTGAAAGAATATGTGTCTTCATGACCCCTGTGGCTGAGTTTGCCCTTGGCAGAGCAAGACAAAGGAATGCCAAGTAACAGCCAACCCTGATGCTCAGATAGGTGTCAGGAAGGGCACTGTGCAAAGGAGTGTTCTCAACAGGATCCCTGCATCACCTCTTTCCAGAAGATGCCCTTGGGTTTTAGCATATTGAAATTAAAATAGCAGGGGGAAAAGGCCTGTACCTTGGTTACCAGGTTCTTCTCTCCAGCGAGCACTTCCATTTCAAAATTCCTGTACGTGCTGTCAATAATACTGGTTTTATTCACTGCACAGGTGATTCCTGGATTCTTGTCAATTATGACTTGGCCTGAAAGAGAGGGCAAAAGATATTCTGGTTCCGGGACCACAACCTCTTAATGTTCTACAACAGCCACAACAAACTGGCTGTTAACAGTTAACAATAACAAAAGTGAGCGTGTGTTGGAATAACCTCCCTCTGTGGACTCAGGGTTGCAGCTGTGACACCGTTTTAAGGCACACACTTCACCCTGAGCCAGTGCTCGGTGCAGGGAGAGGAGAGAACTCTGCCCTCTGAGCACAGCTACAGCATCAGCACAGGAGCTACTCAAAGCCAAGACAAAAAGCAGTCATAAGTTTTCTTTGTGCAAGTGACACCTGACAAAATATCTTTTGGGGAATATACAAGTTATTTTTTGAGAGGAGCAGTTTTACCTACCAATCAAATGTCTGTAGGGCAGCTGGTGGTCCCTGAGGTTCAGGTGAGCTATGTGGCCAACACGGCTGAACCCAGAGGTGACCTCCTGACCCTCGGGAAGCACCGCTCGCAGGATCTCCTCCGACTTGAAGTTCTCGTAGGTCAGCTCCAGGTTGTACCTGGACACCTCAGGATCAACACCGAGCTCTTTCAGCACCTGCTGCTCTGATTCTCCCAGTGAGAATCCTGGTGTTTTGTGAGGATCCAGGATAACAAGCCTACTGTCCTCATCTTCTGGATCCTCAACCACTCGCTTCAGACCGGGACGCTGCAGGACCGACTGTTTTAGGGACTTCAGCAAACTATTTACAATTTCTTTCTTGACTTTAAGAGCTGGAACAACAACTGTCCTTTTAAAAGCCTCTCTGTTGAGCAGTGTCATCCCACGCACTCCGGGATGTGGTGAATACAGCTCTGGATTAGCTTTATCCTCCACGGTTTCAGGCATCGTGGAGAAAGTGTTTTTTTCACGACTACAAAGGGCCCAGGTACTCTGCCAGAATATTGTGCCAACAGCATCCAAACTGCTGGAAATGATGTATTTGATGCAGCTGTCCTAAAATGATTAGTTTTCAGTAGTCTGGCAGAGTATCCAAATCTCCACAAAGTCCTAGAAGAGAAATTATTCATTTTATAGACATTATGTAATCATTCCATTAAAAAGGCTGCAAATCACATGGATTTGCTGTTCTCTTAAACCAGAATTTCCATCTGTACCAAACAATCCACAATAGTTTAGTAAAGCTCTTTATTATAAAATATATACTGCAAATGTCTGTTATTCTGCAAATGTGTTTTTAGACTTAAACACCAACTAACTTCAAGCAGCGAGATAATCCCCTCCTGCCAAAAAACCATGACCTCTCCTTGTTCTAATAAATGTGATATTAATCCCAGGAAGCCAAATGGAAAGATTTCTACTGTCTTGATCCTACTGCTGGATCCGTTCTGTGTCTGATGAAATTCATTACCAAGCAGTGGTTGCTACAAAACAGTTTTCAGCAATAGTGGTCATGATCACTCTTTGGTGATTTCTGCCTCCCAGACCCCAGTGTCAAGTGTTACACACTCACAGTGTCTTTGCTCCATGGGCTGCATGCCAGCAGGATCATTAATTAAATCCAGTATTCCCTATAAGATCCAGGGGAGCATTAGTAATGGCTCTTCCAGCGACCAAGCCCCATTCCACAGTTCATTCATGGGATGGGGAACTTTAAAAGGGGCTTTACCCTCCTCTAAATGGTTTCCTCCACTAGAGACAGTCCAAAAGGGCCCAATTTTCTGACTCTGCATCCGCTGCTCCAAGGCAGGAACCAATGGTTTAGGTGGTTGCATTTCTCCTGACCTCTTGGGACGCTTGTTTTGAGCTCGGGGGTTGATAGGAAAGATGCAAACCAGCTCTGAAAGGAAACTGGTTCTCCTGCCTCCCTCAGCCACTGCTGTCCTCGAGGGTTCCAGGCAGTGCAGTCTCTCCTTCCCAAGAGCTGCTGCGCCCAAATCCTGGCAAAGCTGGGTTGGGTTTCCTGCTCCCATCCTCCCAGACCCCAACTCCTCTACTGTAGGGACTCCCCTGCACCTCCCAGCCTGCCCATTTCCCTAATCCAGACTTTTGGCAAAGCACGCCTCCTTCGCCTGTCGACTCGGAGATTAAACACTGCATTCCTCACGTCTGCTGCACAGGGGAAATCCCATTATCCAGAGGCCTGAGCATCCCTGTGCTTCTCCCGGGGCATTTGCCTTCTCCCTAGAGGTAAACTATCGAGTCGGTACGTCAGAATCCCGGAATCAATCACGCTGGAAAAGAGCTCTGGGATCGCCGAGTGTAAGCCCTGCCCCAACCAGACCACGGCACCGAGCGCCCCGTCCAGCCTCTCCTGAAACACCTCCGGGGTGTTTCACGCCACCATCTCCCTGGGCAGCCCCTTTCGCTGCCTCATCAGCCCTTGTGTGAAGCAAATCCTCCTGGGGATCAACCCGAACCTGCCCTGGCGCAGCTTCAGGCCAAGTCCTCTCATCCTGTCGCTTATGGATAAACCCACAAGACAACCGCCCCCACACCGCGCTGTATTCCGGCTGGAGGCCACTGCACCACCCTCCCAGGTGGACAGACCAGCCCCTCCCTCACCGCCGCGATCCCGGTTTATCCCGGTTTATCCCATTTTTCCCTCAGGGAAATCCCTCCCCCCCTCCCTCCTCTCCCCCCGCCCTCACCTCATGCCGGGCCCCGCGCGCCGCTCGCGCGCGTCATCGCCGCCGCGCCGGGGGAGGGCGGGGCCTGAGCATTGACCACGCCCCCCGTGTGGTCCCGCCCCCTCAGCGCTCCTCAAACGGGGCGTGCGGGGGCGCGGCCGTGGCCACGCCCATTTTAAAAAGCCACGCCCATTAAAACCTGGCCCCGCCCAGAAAAGCGTGGCCCCGCCCCGGCGCGCCCCTCAGAGTGCTCGGTGCGCGGGGGGCGATGGCGGCGCCGCCCCGGGGGTCCCGCAGCGCCCGGGCCCTGCCCGCCCGCGGGTGGTACCTGTCCGCCCGCCTGCGGGACCACCAGGACGACGAGGAGGACGAGGAGGAGGAGGACGGGGAGTCCGCCCCGCTGCTGCCGCCGCCGCCGGCGGGCAGCGTGCGTGTGAGGGGCGGCGGGGAGGGAGCGCCCCGAGGGGGCTGCGTTGGGTGCGGTGCGGGGGGGGAGCTCGGAGGGCGCGGGCTCGAAGGCCGGGCGGGACGGGGCTGTGCGGGGCGGTGACACCTGGGGAAGGGGGTGAGCCGCTGCTCTCAGTCCCTTTGGGTGTGCTCCGGATCCCTTTGGGTGTGCTCCGGATCCCCTCGGTCCTGTGAGTGCCGAGCGCTTGGAAGCGCTGCCATGTGCCCCACGCAGGGAGAGCCTGCTCCGAGCCGTAAATCTCCTTTTGCGCTCTGCTATCCCCGCGCTCAAAGGTTGTGGGCATTTGGGGTGCCTGCCGGGCAGCATCGTGGTGTTTGTTGTGTGTGCAGCAAGGGTTTAAGCGGGGTCTTAGAGTGAGAAATGAGGTTTGCTGGATTTAGATTAGGGAAGGAAAAGGTGACTGTGGCCCCCTCCCTTAAATTGCCTCCTGTGGAAGACCAAAACACCTCTAGCACTAATTGTACTTCTTTTTCTGGGCCTTTTTCACAGAGTTCTTCAAGTCGTGGTTCCTCCTTTGCTTTCTCAGTGTTCAACCTAATGAATGCCATCATGGGCAGTGGGATACTTGGCTTATCCTATGCTATGGCCAACACAGGGATCATGGGCTTTAGGTAAGTTTTCAGTTTTTACATGTCCTCATTTTTAAACTCAGCTTGTAGTTTTAAGTGGAACGAAACTTGATTACTAAGGCTCCTGTGCAAATCTGAGGAAGAAGTAAATAGCATGTGCTTTTCAGAATCGTTGAATAAGATCTTCCCTCTTTGGTTTAGTCATTCAGATCTAGCCTGACATAAGCCCTGCCCAGACGTTGCATTAAATTGCCACATGGTGGCAATTTCTTGGCCATTACTCCTGATAGATTGGCAGTTTCCTTTCAAAGCTGTTATCTCCTTTGGTTCCAGGAATGGGCCTTCTGGAGCAGGATGGATATGTGTCTGAAAATTGCGAATCAGCTTGTGCTTTTGTTTGCACTTCTGGTTATTATACATGCTGACCTGTGGATAACGGGGCCATAGTCACCACAGTTGTCGCTTTTACCGTTTTCTGAGTGTTGGTTCCACTTCACTGGAAGATGTGCGTTTGTCTGTGTGTATGTACACACACAAACTCCCATGTCTATGTCCTTTTTGTAGTCCATGTGTCAGGCCTTTGCCCTGTATAGTGTGTGATATTCTTAGTGAACAGTATGAGGAGCAGGGGAACTTCACAAGTATTGGGAATGTCAGGGACCACATGAACCATAGTCAGCAGATACCAGCCACAAAATGAGGAAATCTCGTCTTGTGGTAGCTTAATTCTTGCAAGAGTAGCGTTCTTAAAGCTAGAAAATGCACTGTGCTGTAAAAGTGCTTTAATTGTGACTATTTTGTGGTTTTTAGTATCTTGCTGCTGATCGTTGCCAGCCTTGCTTCTTACTCTGTGTTTCTCCTGCTCAGTATGTGCACTCAGACTGGTAAGTGAAAAGGATTTATCTAACAGTGAGCTCTGAAGTGTTTCCTCAGCTCTGTCACAGAATTTGTGATATTGATGAGTAATGATTGCAATTAACAGCATGTTAACAGTTAGCTGTGCCAGCCTCACTGGTCTTGAAATATTTATCGTTTTTAATGATTATTATTTGCCATTTAAAAATACGATTTTGAGACTTCTTGTGAGCAGTTGGTGCCAAGCTGTCTGGTTTCTAGATTTTCAGGTTTAATTTATTTTTTTTTCGAAAAGCCTCTCTCATCTTTCCTAAAAGACAGATCCTGTATTTCTGCAGCGAAATTATTTTGGTGCTGGCTGGACCACGCTACATCAGTGCGTGCTGCTGTTTTCATGGAAGGCTTAGGAGCAATAAAATATCAGCCTTTAATTCTTCTGCTTGTGATATATGTCTTTTGTTCCTGGTTTGAAATGGATACCTTTCAGGTTTTGTAATCATGTTGGAGTATCATAATTGTCGTGGTATGTTACAGATGCAGGGTTTTATGGCATTTTTGATGCTGGATGAGAAGTCACATTCCGGTCCTTGGGAATTGCCCTGCTTTGGGAATGCTCAAACGCAAACAAACCTGCCAGTGTTTTAATTCTTGCTTCCTTTAGCTGTTACTGAAGCGACTGGTTCCCTGAGTTCTCTTACACAAAGATCACGTTACAGCAGGAAGTCTCCATCTTTTCCAGTCACCTGGTTATTGTTTCCCTCTCATCTGTTTTCCTCTCTTTTCAGAGGTGGTGGGTGAAAGCTTCCGCTTCTTTCCTCCTTGGCTTTGTTTTCTTTAGCTGCCTTTGGTCTCTCAGATGACTGCTTCCTGATTCTTCTTAGATCTGCTGCTCCTGTCCTCGCCTGTCCAGTGATCTTCTTCACACATTCTTAAAAAGCACTCCTCAGAGGTAGGGTTAATTTTATGGTTGATACTTTTGGCTGCTTAATTATTTGGGATTAAGTCTTTGGTAATGCTTGTCCCCTCTTGGAGCTCTGCTTATTAGAAAGGAATTAGAACTTGAAACAAGTAGCTAGAAATGTACATGAGAAGCAAAAAAAGGGTGGATTTGAGGCAATTTTGTATGGCCTTTTTTTTGCCTCTTCTTTCAGGCTGAAAAGTTCTGTATTGCATAGGCACTAAGTGATATTAAAGTGTAAATGGTAAAATAATAATTAAATAATAATAATTACAGAGATCCTTGCAAAAGAATTATGGTGAGAGGGGAAAGCTAAAGATTTGAGTTGTTTGAAGTAAGAAGAGTTTGAATATTATGAACTTAGACACCTATTATGTGAGAATGGTTTAACTCCTCAGTTTTTGTCCAAAGCAACAGTGCACCTCAAGAAAGCAGTTTTAAAATGCAGACAGCTGAAAGCAAGGAGCACCACTGAAGTGACAGGATGAAGTATTTCTTGTCTGAAACAAGCACTTTACAGTTAATAATTAATTATTACCCAATGCTGACAGATAGGACTAACACCAGAACTATGTCTGGATAAATTTGCTGGATTTATGACCTTCTGTATTTTTTTTTTTTAAATAAGATTTGATACTATGTTTCCTATAATTCCTGTCAGTTATTGAAGTAATTAAATATTAGATAGAATTCTGAATTTTTCCTTTGAACATTATCTTTAAAAAGTGGGAAATATGACCTGCTGTACCTTGGCAAAGTACATGTTTGATTTCAAAGTAGGTAATGAAATGTTTTTGTTTAAAAAAATCCACATTCATTTGTGAACAGTGTTAACAGTATTAAGCTTAATCCGTGGCAGCAAATCGGAAAGAAGTTTTACTATTTTTATATTAAAAAACGAGCTAGGAAAAATTTAAAGGGGACTGAAGAAAAACCTTTGAAAGTGTTTGCAAACTGTTCATTAGGAAAGAGCTGTCTTATAAAATACCTTCTGAAAAGGAAGCTCAAAAAATGAATTCCATTTCAAACAGAGATCAGGATTTACTAAGCACAGGCATTTTTAGTTGCAGTTCAAAAATAACTGAGTAACTGAAGACCCTTCTTTATGTTGGCCTGGACTTTGACAAAATCCAGTGATTTGTGTAGACCAAAAGGCTTAGCAAAAAAAAATATTCCCAGGTGTCAAGTGTTGTGTTGGGATTAGTTTAGTCAGTGTTTTCTCCTGGTGTTAATTCAGTACGACCTGTGTTGTTTTGGGCTGATAAAGGCTAAGCTTGCTCTGTAAAGCAGAGGAATTGGGAATTTAAGTGGGATGTACTTTGAAGTTTTGTGGATTTTTTTTCTTTCTTCGTTTTATGAGTGAGTCACAAATGTTGCTGGTGCTATACGTGCCAATTTCACATTTAAAGGGATAATTTCCACGGGGTATTAATGACATGATAAAAGTTAAGCCGATCAGGCAGAGCTTATTTATATAAGTTGTGCTTAATGTTTCAATCCATATATTCTTGAAATTGCAAAAATAGTGCAATTAAGTGTTAGAGGTTCCCAGTGTTCACAGGACTAAACTGAGTGAGTGCAGAAACAGAAAATATTCCAAGGTTTCATATTGCTGTTTTGGAAATGTGTGGAAAACTGTCAATCCTTTTTGCTGATAACTCCCCGTAGGTGAGTGCTGTGTATTTGCTGCCATGTGGTACAAACAACTCGCTCCTAAATATCTTTAACATTTTACTGATTTTTATTTTTTGATGCCAGCGAAGATGGCTGCCTAAAATGCCTTTTTTTTTTTTTTTTTTTTTCCTCCCTTGGTATCAACAACTTTATTAATATAAATGAGAAAAATGCAGGGTAAAATTTAGCACGACGTGTTTCTTGTTTAATTGTATTTGTATATAACTCATATTAGTGTAACAGGAGGTTTAGGAGATAATCCAGGTTTATGCTGAGAGCTGACTCTGGCTCATTTGATTTTATTTAAAATGAATCTGTTTTTTGTAAGGTGTTGGTGTCAGTAGTAGAGCAGCATGTGAAACTGAGGAAAATCATGCAAGAAAATCAATGAAGTTCTGTTAGGTTTGGGGTTCGTTTTGATCTCATTTTTTTGGTTTTGTTTTTGTTTGCCCCCCGTGGATCTGACCGCGTGCAGAACTTCAGTGAAATAAAACCACCTAATCTTGGGCAGTTGGGAGTCTGAGGCTCCAGCCCTGTCATCTGATCTCTGTGTCTCCCATGTCCCGTGTCATTTGCTGCAGTGGGGGCTTCACTCAGGTGTGAAGGGCTGCCCCAGCAGCTCAGGTTGCAGGGCCGGGCCCTAAATTAAGATGTGACAGGAGTAGGAGCAGTATTGTACCAAACAGAACCAGGGAAGAGAAACCAAGCGTTGTGGCAGTAAAGTTACGTGGGTTTGAGATTAATTTTTACCCTTGGAGGCATTTACAGCTGTGGGGCCGTTTCATTACATCCTGAGAAAGTGAGCGGTTTTTCTCTGGGAACTTTCATCTTTTTGGTGTCACTTGAGTTTCTAATAACAAAATACAGAGTAACAATGAAAGGCTTTAATATCTCTCTGAGAAGGGATTGCTTTGAGTTACCAGCAATATTAGAAGTGAGCTCCAGCTAAATCCCAGCAAAATTATACAAGAAAGCTCAGGGCAGTAGAATGTCATTATGTAAGTTGGGTGCAGGTAAGGGAAGGATTTTTGTTTTGTTCTGGGTTTTGCTTTGCTGTTGTTTTTGGTTTTTTTTTTTGTTTGTTTGTTTGTTTTGTTTTAATAATAGATTTCCACTAAGGAAGGTGTTTACCTTCAGCTCTCTTGAAAATAAATAGTGCCTGATTTTTAAAAGCTGGTGAGCTGGTGGTGTTTATATTTGTAGAAAGATGAAAAAGTATCCTCTGTTGTCATCTTTACTTAGAAGAAGGAGTGTGTTCTTTTAAGAAATAAAATACAGAAATATACTAATTCTTGAGGCTAATTTCATAATTCTTCACCTATGGAAAAAGTCTTTGGAAGAAGGCAATTTGTCATTAATGTATTATGGTTATTTTTTAAATGTTAGTACTTTAAATATTAAATTGAGATTCTTTAGAGTCTCTGATTGTTTGAGCACAGAGCTGTATTTCATAGCAGGAGTACTGGCATATGTAAAAGCTGTTTTGTAAATAAAAAATACTGTAGAATGCTCTTTTGACCTGAATTATGTTCATTTAAAAAAGAGGGGAAAAAAGGCAAAGATAGAGCTTTCAAGCAATTTTGAAGTTAAAAATATTTTAGCCTTTTTTTTTTTTTTTCCTTACTAACAGCTGCCACTTCTTATGAAGACCTTGGCCTGTTTGCCTTTGGATCAACTGGAAAGGTGAGGATTAATTTTTTACCTTTCTTTTTCTTCTTGGAAAAGTTGCTTCTGATATGGAACTGTTCCTTGCATGGTAAAAAGGTATAGATGAAATAAGCTGTATAATTAGTGATGCCTCAGTGTGGTGGAAAATCTTTTGCAGCCTGAAGCTTTTCACTGGGTTTCATTTCGTGTGTATGGACTGTGGAAGCCCAAACTTCAGTTAAACTTAAAACAGACCCTCCTTAAATGCGAGGGTTCGCGCTGCTCTGCTGTCAGCGTGTTCATTTTCGGCTGGGAGTACAAATGTGCTCACTGGTGGTGTTGCCCAGTGGGCTCAGCGCTCAGGCTTGGGTTTGTTACGATCCCCTCGTGCCTCTGCTGGAAACTGCTGAGGGACAGGTAGGAGATCCACTGTTGGTGTTCCAGCATTTCATAGGGATCTAAGATAAGGGGATTGTCTCTCATGCAGTTTCCACAATGGGAACAACTAAGAGTAGGTTTCGTGCGTGTTATTTTTTTGTTTTGTTTTGTTTGATAAGCTCTTCGGGTGAATGCTTCTTACTTGCTGTTTTATGTTTAAAAAACTCCACCAACAGGACGCCCCCAAACAAACAAACCCCAACAAAAACACCGGTAAGCTAACCATTTCTGGTGTAAGAGTAATCAAAATGTTAGCTGTGCTTTTTTAGGCGTGTACTAGATCTGTTTTTCCTAGTGGACAATGTTATCCAGTAATACTGGGTGCACAGGAAATATTGCCTGTGAGTACTGCACACTTATTATTATGAATTCTATGCTCTGTGTTTCAGTAACTAAAAGCAGGTTTTACCACACAGAAGTATGATTTTAATATTTTACTGAAACGGTGTAAATTTTTTTCAAAATTAGTTTTGCTCATCAGGCTGGAGTCTGATTTCTTATGCCTTAGGGTAACTGAGAATTAAACCTGAGCTGTCAGGTGTTTGTGAGACTTCCATTAGCATGAATAAGCAGATATGAGTGTAGTCTGAGGATCAATATTTATTGATCAAAGTTCTAAGGTGACCAACCTCAAGAGATAATAAATCTTGGTATTAGCAAGGTATGAAATACAGTTATTTTTTACTGGAGCTCTACAAATAACCATAAGCCATTGCTTGCAAAACTCATGGAAATTTAGATCTTAAGGACAAACTAAAATGTGACTTAGTTTGCCTTTGCCCTGAGCCCAGGGTGAACATACATAAACCATTCTTGGCAGATGTTTGTCTAATCTGTTATTTAAAAGCTTAAACTAAGAAATTTCACAGCTTCACTTTGTAGCCAATGTCAGTAATTTTTTTTTTTAACTCTCCCCAATATACTTATTCATAATTCTCAGTTTAAATAATTTGTGCTAAAAATTATCCGGTCTTTTATTTTTGGTGTGCACAGAGAGCACTGGATTATTTTTAGGTTGGGAAGCTGTTGTTCCAATAAAATAATTAACCAAAGTTCACCCAGTTTTCCTGATGAACACTTACCTTTCTCCCTTGAAGGATCTTTGATATTTATATAGCTTTCTTAAAACTTGCCTGCAAAACAGGCTTTGCTGTTTCTCATTGTGTTATCTCAGACTGTTTTCTCTATTTGCAGTCTAATAACTCTTCTAAGTCGTATTTTTGAGATCTCCCTGAATCTTAACTGATCTGGTCGATTTTTAGGCTTTTCTGGTTTCACCACAACCATTCTGGATTCTGATCTGTCCCTGAACAATTCTCACTTCAGTCAGGCACAGACTTTTTTCTTTTGCTTTTTTCTCACTCATGAGGGAATGGTGCAGTCAGACCACAGCAGGATCTTGCTTGAACTGACAGCTTAGGCTGTCTAATTACTGGCTGGTTAATTACTCTTGAGGTAGAGCAGTTACTCAACCTTGTGGTGATTTCCTTTCAAACGTATTTTTTCTGACATTTGTGAGGATGGAAATTTTCTGCCATTGGAAGATTGCTGGTTCTCCCTTTCCAAAGGCGTGAAGTATTTGTTTCCATGTATGGCAAACTCCAAGATACCATACTTTGCGTTTTTTTTTCCTTCCCTTGGTGACTTTTGAGCTGACTTTGAATTCATTTAAAATCTGAAATTATTTTCTAGCTGATCAGTTGAAAAAAATGGCAGCTCTGTTTTCGGATTTTATTCAAAAGTACAAATTTGTTTTTCTTCTCACTCTCACATCTGTGGCTTAATTTTTTTCCAAGCACTCATTTGGGAATGTCTTGCTCTATCAAGAAGAGCAGTGGGTAAAAAGAAAAACTGCATTAGGTGATCGTCGTGTTTTAGAACTGAGCTGAGAAGAAAACACTGGGAAAACTTTATAGCCACTTTTAGGGTTTTTTCAGTTAGAAGTTAATTTTCTTTTGGATTCAGACAAGTATTTTAGTAGCCTGTGATCATTTTGTGCTCCCAGTATGAATAATCACAAACGCTGAAGAAAAGTCTGTCTGGTTTACAAGTTTAAAAGAACAACGACATCCCTGACAGTTAAAAATACTCAAGTTTTTGGAGTGAGGAAGTGCACTTGAGCTTGTACAAATCTCTGCTGTCTTTTTGGAGCTGAATGATCACTTTCATTTGTATTCACCTGATACCAGTTAGGATGCACCTATATGTTTTTAGGGATTTAAAACCCTAATCTTCTGCAGATCAGGCTTCACTGAGTTCCTGCTCCTGCTTTGTCATCTCAGATTTTTCAGGGAGGACTTTTTTGCTGTCATGTTCATTTCAGGTTGTGTTGGTTTCCACGTGTTAAGCTCTTCACCAAGGAGAAGATGCCCTTCCTCTCAGGACTAGTTATCGCTGCCACATCTGGTCTGGTTAAGATGATGCACATGTGTTTTATGACTGCTGGGGACATACGATTTTAGTTACCCTTACCCTTTCTAAAGAAATCAATTTTTTTTTTATAGGTCCTGGTTGCAACTACAATAATTATCCAGAATATTGGAGGTAAGAAACTTCAGATGCTCGATTATTAACTGTGTGGAGTATAACCTCTACAGGCTACACAGCCCCAGAGGCACCAAAGGCAGTAATTAAATTAAAGTGCTCTTCAGAGGACAGAAAACTTAAAGGAAAGGCTCATGTGATCAGGCTAAGCTGAGGGGCTGGAGTCACGGGGTAGATGGGGGGAATTATGGGGTTTGGGTTGTGTGCCTGTTGCTGCATCCCAGGTTGTGGAGCACATCCATGGTAGCTGGCACTGCTGGTTGGAAGGGGCTGAGGAAGCAGCATCTCCACTCCCCTGTTCTGTACATTTGTTTCTGGTAGCTGCACTTTATCAGATCATGTGTTTTGGGTTTTGCTGTTGGAACCTGCCTATGCATTTTACTGATTTGTGTAACAACTGAATGTTTACTTAGCTCTGATGTTTCATATGTTCTGCATTAATGGGAGCTTTTTTTTCCCCTGTTAGTTCAATACCTTGTTATTTGGGGAAGTTGTTTATCCTCCCAACTTAGTTCATGTGGGCTGATATGTTGTCATATGCTGGGCTGTCCCCTCACACTGTTCTTATTTTGTCTTCCTTGGTGCATGGCTTAATAAAATTACACTGCCTGGTTTTGTATTTAAACTCTTACTCAGAAATGCTTGCATACTTGATGGTCACTAAGTAGTGACCAGAAATTATTTAGAAATTATTTGTCTGAAAGTAGACAGTGTTTAACAGAACAATTTTAGATTTCTTTTGGCTCTGAATGTTTTGGATATTTTCTTTTAAACGAGGGGATCATGTGAAACCTCCTTCCTCTCTCCCCTACCACCGGGAAGATACACGTGTTCAAGTACATCAGAAGAAGGAAACAGCATTCCAGTGCTGTTCTTTCCTTTAGGATTACCTCTCAAGTCCAGACAATGCAGTGATTGCTGGGTTTTTTTGTCACAATGTAGACATCTAGAACTAGACCAGGTAACTTCTTTCATGGTAAACTTGGAATATTTTCATATACTGGAAGTTCTAATAATAAAAGCTGCCCATATGAAATGGCTGTAAAAATCCAAGCATTAATTTTAGGCAGGAGTGACCATATTAATTCCAAGATTAAGGGCTATTTATTCATACAGGTTTTAGAGGATGTTCTGTAGCAATGAACAAATCTTTTCATTTCCTTTCCCGTTTGAGTGGATCTCTAAATAAACAGCACTAGAGAAGGAGGGATACACAGTGCAGGTTCTGGAGATTCTGGGATCGTGTACAAGACTCTGTGGTCAAAGGAAATATGACTCTCACTTCTTCCTCATCGCAGTTCATAACCTCCTCTGTGTCATTTTTAATAAAATTCAGCTCAGTTACTCTAGAGCCCCAAACTAGTGCGTGCTGGATATTACCAAACTCCTTATTCCACCCTCTGCAGTGGCCTTCTCTGCCAGCAAGTAGGGCCTGGTTTGCCCAACCAATGGGTTTCTGTCAAACTAATTAAAAAGTAGGAGGTTTGCAAGATGAAATGCTTCTATCAAATATTTTGAGTGACCTCATTTTGATGGAAGAATTCAGAAACTCTGGTTTGGTGGTTCTGGTTCCCAGGGCAACAGGTTTCATTGAGGTGGCTTATGTATCCAGTACATTTACTTTCAAGGAGGGCTTGTTTCCAAATGCACTGAAGGGAGGAAGCTGACTTTCCTGCCTTGAATCTGTTGGTGTTGGTAGTGCCTAAACCTGCCCCAAGGCTGTGAGGGTGGGTGATCTGTGGAAGCCTGGGTGGCAAGCTGGGACTCTGGCCCCTTCTCCTACACAGCAGATGTGTTGTGTTGTCACTGCAAGGAGCTGTCACAACTTCTCTTTAGTATTGAGAGCTCTCTTCGGGAACAGAGCTCCAGCTGCCTTATTCCTCTCCTTAACAACCACCTTTGGCAGTGCCCTGTGATGCTGCAGCCCAGTCAGCACTGTGTCAGGAACCAGCTTTGAAGGCGACTGCACTGCAGGCTGAGAGGCTGCTGAAAAAGCATAAGGAAGGTCGAATAATTCTCTTCACCTCTCAGGGCCTTGACTCTTGAAGGACTGCATGGAAAGAAGGGAATTTTTCTTGTCTTTCTGGTCCTTGGGCAGATTTTAAATGGGAGTGGTGAAACTGTGGAGTGTCGTTTGTCCTTGAATGGGATCCACGCTGGGATTAAGTGTGAGGCTTGGGCTCTGCCCACAGTGCCTGTTGGTAGGTGTTCCCCTCCCTTTGTTTTTCTGTCTGAAGGGACCAGCAGCACGGTGCCTGTTGGGCAGACATCCAGACTCTGTCAACATCTTTGATTTCAGAGTAAGGCTAAAAATAAAACTGTTTTCTGTTACCTCTTCCATCGTCAGACCTGAGAACGTTGCATCATACGGTGTCTTATTTCACAAATGATGGGAGAGCATAAGATAATGAAAGATGCCTTGTGGCTAAAATAAGCAACTCTGCCAGGGTTACTGTCACTATCTGCATCTGCTCTGGGCTTTCTTTTACAGTTTTGTCTGATCCCTTCTAAAAATAATCCAAGTGCAGAAGTGATTTACATTAATTTGTGGTGGAGAGAGCGTTTCAGTAATCATTTTAATAGTTATGCTTTCCAATTTGTCAGCTTTGTTTTTTTTTAAAAAGAAAGCTTAATGAACAAATTTGAATGTGACGTTCTAATTGCATGCCCTTAGGGATTTGTGTAGATAGGGGAATTGATTTTTTTTCTACTGGCAGGATACAGGGGAGTTCGTCTTTCTACTAGCAGGATATCCAAGTTTAAAAAAAAAATTAAAAATTTTGTTCAGCTGCAGGAAAGCACTGGTTGCTCAAATTTGGAATTTAAAAGGTTAAAAAAAAATTACTTCAAGTGCACTGCTTGGAAATTTAACATGTATCTCTAACAAGAGTGCTCAACTTTTCCTGCAGATTTTTAACCATCCCTTTGGAACACTTTGTAATGTTGATTCAAGTAACAACAAATCAAATACCAAAATCCATTCAAGTACCAAGGATTAACTAAGGATGCATCAAGATAATGCAATATCCAAATGTAAATTAAGGTAATTTTAGTACTGTGTCTTAAAGACTTTATGGAATATGTACAGCTTAGAGTGATTAAACTTGGAGAAGGTTTGCCTTGCTTTCCTTGTAATCAGTATGTTCTTGTTCTTGCAGTGTGGGTATTGTTAATGAAGGGAAGCCAAAAGGTTGAGTGGGAGGGCCAGGGCTACTAATTTTTGTGGTGTTCAATTTGTCAGCATTTTGGCCCAATCCAGCAGCCCTTTGATGTAAATAACTAGTGATTGGTTGCATGTGAACTGCCCTGGTCTAGAAAGGGCTGGTTAGTTGTGTGTGTGGGTGTAAAGTGGACACGAGGAAGGGAACCCTCACGCTGCACCTACCAGGCTGTCAATTTGTCCATCGACTGCCCCTGACCCTTTTCCTGGCACCCACATCTTTCCGTGGAGTGATCTTCCCAGTGTCCACTTCTTGCCTGCTGTGCAGAAGAAGAGGATCTTGAAGGGTTCCAGATCCTGTCAGGTGCCCTCAAAGAGAGGAGAGGGCCCTTGGGAAACTGTAGCCCTGGAGGCACACGGGGAGGGAGGGAGGCTGCTATCGAAAACACTGAGTTCCACGGCCCTGCTGGCTCTTCATGTCATCCTTACCAGGAGCAACTGGAGCTGGACAGAGTCCCTGCTATTGTTTTCATAGCTTTGTGCTTCTAGGAAGTGATGGATGAGGCACAGGGGGCCAAAGCCCTTCCCCCTCTCCTGCCAGGAAAGCTCTGTGAGCTTCCTAGGTGCTTTCCGAAGAGGAGGAAGGAAGACAGTAATTTTTCCTTCTAGAATTATCCTCTCTGGATGTGACCGAAAAGGAGGCCGCGTGCCCGAGAGAAAATTCTTTAGGAGTCTTAAAGCATAAGTAGTAAAGACAGAGAAGGGCTGATTTTAGCAAGGCTGGTGGAAAAATGGAGGCAAACACAATGAAGTATTGCACAAGAGCAGCCCGTTGCCAACACTAACAAATCCCCAGCACCGAGGTCTAGCAGGAAGCATGAGGAGTTTTCCAGCGTGCTTCCCAGGGCTGCGGGCTGCCATCGGCTCAGGGTCACCGCTGCTGGAGATGGGGCCTGGTGGCTGGGATGCACACAAACATGAGCCCAAACTGCTGAGAACAGGAGTCTAATTATTTAAAATTTATTAGCAGCGGGATTAAGTGCTGCAGTAGAACCTGCGGTGCGGACGTGTGGCTCGGGTGGGTCCGTGTGAGGAGTTTCTGCAACGGGTTTTATTTCTTTTTCCATTGCTTCAGATAGGCTGTGGGTCAGTGTGAGTAACTCACCTGACTTGGCTTGTGCCCAGGTAGTCACCTCTTTGGAACTAAGCTTTCCACACAGTTGTCTTAATTTTGCAAAGAATTATTTGCTTTTTAGTATAAATACGATTTAATTCACCGTAATTTTTTGTAACTGGCGCTTGCCGATCTTGTTTCCGTATTCTGCACTTCACGCATCCTCAAAAGGTACACATTTTTCTTCTTTCTAAGAAAAAGTAAGGAGGGAAAAAATATCTTTCCATGTCCCTGGAGCGCTGTTTTATCCTCGGTGCTGCCTGAACGCTGTAGGCAGTAACTGGAAGCTGCAGGATTAGTTCCAATGGGTGATGCTGTTCTGTAGCTGCATTTTACAGCCTGTTAATACAGTCAAGGTGACAGACAATACACAGAGACCCCGCTGTGAGTGCAATACACCCTAAATATGTATTTACGTTCGGGGGTTCGTATTCTTCGAGCATCGCGAAGTGAATCGAGAGGCGCAACCACCGGGAGAGGCAGAGACTTAAAAACAGCAGCACCACCATCTACTGGCCTGGCCCGGCCCCACACGCCCTGGGCCGCCTTCCCGGGAGAGCTGCCGGCAGCCCGGCGCCTCGGGAAGCTCCAGCCTTCTCCTGCTGTATTCCACATCCCCTTCCCTTTGTTTTTCTGCGAGGTAAACAACGAAATATTTAACTTACC